GCTGGGTAAGATAACCAAATATCATTTAGGTCTGATGCTCAGATCTTGGCGCTGAGTACTGTGCATGCAACAAAACTGTCACCCCTCACAACAAATCTTTAGGAGACATCATAGTAAAAGGCTAGACTGGACTATCTTTTAAAAATAGACTTTGTATTCTCTTTCTTATGCTTCTTTATCTCTGATACTCAGTGGCAAAAGAATTGGGTGATGGAAGAGAGAAGGCATTTCTGTCTGGTACTGGTTCCAAACCTGAAATAAAATTATGTCATAGCAGCTCTAAATTCTGTAGAGAGATTTCAGCCTGCTTGATGGATGTTGAAATGTAAGATAAAAAGTATTTGAGAAAACTAAAAACATTTGAGTTGCTGTACCATTTATAACAATGGTTTCTGGGAATAGAACAGTCTCATATAAATATGCAGCTGTGTATTTATATCTATATGATTTTTTAAATTCATTTTTTCTAATTAGGTATGTGCACAGGTGTTAATTTGCACATTCAGTTTGATTTTGAGGCAACTGGTATCCTGCTTGTCAGAAAAGCATTGCAAGGATGTAAATATTAGCTCACCCTTTATCTTTTTCTTTAATCCATGCAAATCTGAAAATAAATCTTTTAATATGGATTGACTAGAGCCAGGAACAATGCAAGCAATTTTAATTCTATCCTCACTGATAATGTGGGGGCTCTACATAACATTCTGTGCTGAAGAGGGGTTTTGCCCTATGAAGAAATGCAGAGGATAAAGTGACACCATTTACAGATATAATACAAAATGTTTGAGCCATACATGCACTTCATAAGGGAAATATCATCTCTGGACTTGTCCTTATGGGGTCACTTTTTATCTAAGTAAACCCAGTACATTGATTAGAAAGAGCTGTAAACACTGCTGCTTTTCGTATTGCTGTGAATCAGGCGTGTGTTTGGAGCAGAATTAATTTTGTATCAGAATAAATAATTCTGTAGGCAAGCCTCAGGGCTTAGAGATGTTTTTGGCTCACCAGCTGCCTTCCCAGACTGCTTTTATCTGGTGCAGACAAGCTTTTCTATGGCACTTCTATCATATGTGTGTGCAGAGAACAGATATTGGCTTCTTATTCTGAATGCTGGCTAAAAGCAGTGTTCCCTGGAATTGCTCTCATATCGTTAAAGAGTCAACATCATCTTTTTCTGATAACTCTTTGTATGCCTGATCATAATGTTTGAAGTTAGACCCATACAGAGAGCCTTAACACTTTCTCCCTGTGGGAAAAGACTACAAAGAAAGTTAAGAAGCTTTCATGGTTGGAGGTTTTTTAAGGCCATTGTGAAACTATTGCTATGGTTAAGTTATTAGAGCCATACTGGGGTGCCACATTACCTAGAAGATTCATAGGATCATATGAAGTATGGAAGTTATACCCCTGATATTCCTGACCTGCCTATCTTCAATGTGAAGCTGAATAATTTTGCAGAATGTTAGTGCTAAGCCTTATCAATGTCAAGGACAGCGGGGCAGAGCATGCCTTCCACAAGATGTGCCCCATTGCCGATCTCAAGGGAGTCATAGTGTTGTGATACTCTCTCACCAGTTCTCTCAGCCATGCTCTCATCCCTGGGAACACTGATGGTCAAGAACAAATGCTGGTTTGTATATGGGATTTGCTGGTTTATGTCTGGGATTTACTTCAGCTGTACACAGAGGTTTACACATGGCACTTGGTTTTGGTCCGGGCATGCACATTGTTGTGTTTGAAATAGGTAAGTGGGTATTGCCTCCAGTTTGTTCTCTCTCTCAGCCCCAAGATTCCACATCTATTATAACTGCACATAAACTAGAAACTCCATTTTAATAATGAGGTATTAGTACTGAAAATTGCTGTTGTTCCTTCCAAAACAATTGCATGGCATTTCCTATCAGTATACCCAGAAAATAATTTCTCTATCTAGATTTCCAGAAATTTTTTAATAAAAACGTAACTCTTATTAAGCATAAACCATTATAAGTGCAGTTGATGATAATCAGGATGCAATTTAGTAGACATACCCTGCACACAAATAAGAAAATTTGAAAAGTGAAAATTACAGTAATAATTTTATACCTGGACATGTCTCAAAATTGCTTTAATGGTATGGCAAACATTGAGAATGTCCATGTGGGCACAAGAGGATTTTGGAGGAGAAAGTAATCTGTTGGGTCTCTAACATAGCCCTGGTCCCCAGCCTTGCCAGTGATAGTAACCACAGAGCAATATTTTGGTGTGAAGCTTCCCAGGTAGCCATCAGAATGCACCTTATGTGGTCATGGAGTTTTAATACATCTGAAGGCCAATGACAATGGGAAGAAACATGGGAAAAAAATTCCTTATCTAAAGTTTTCCTACAGCAAAGTTTTCTTTACAGGTTTTGTAGAGCCATTAGAACTGACTAAAACAGTAGTTGCTTAGAACTCGTCCTCTCTGAACGTTTTCCTCAACCAGGTTGATTTGCAACATCCAGACTCTGTAAATATATTTGTGTTAACTTCCATGAAATATTTAATGAATTTGCCACTTACAGGAAAATATTATTATTATCTCTGCTACTAGTAGTACATGGAAGAGGCTGCAGGGAGTTTGAGGACTCTGGTTGCTTTCTGAAAATCCTGTCAGTGTAACTTTTTGAGAGCTATCTGTGTTGACAATAAGGGCAGTATAGAAAGGATAATTCAAGTTAATTCTCAGCATATATTCTGGGGTTGTTCTCCATGAGTCTGTCAGTACCCTGTAGCTCACGTGAAGTAGAAGATATTTCAGACACATTTCACCTGACTTAAGTCCATCTGAATTTAGGCAAGTGTTTGAGGTATTTAAATGAGAAGCTTCATCACCCTGAATGCTTTCCATAGTTTGTCTAGAGGAGGAAGTCACTAACTTCCCCCCCAAACCTGACCACAAATATTTCTACCTAGTGTTTTCCTCATAGTGTTATTTAGCAAGAAAGTTTAAAGATGTTCCTGGCTTGGATATATTGCTCCACTTCCTGTAGACCTGTGTTTGCAGTGCTAAATCCATTTGGAAGACTATATTACTCTAAGTATCTCAAAATTATTAGAAGTCATTATTGAATGACTTTTTTTGTGTCTGTTAAGAGAATAAAACTGTAAAAAAGCTCTAACTAACATTGACTTTTATATTTGTAAGTGGTTTAGTCTGTGATCCTTATGATGTCTAGGACTCTGCTTTATTCTGTGATTGTGTGTATGTTAAATATCAGTGTAAAATAGTGAATAATAAATTTGGTTCCACTGTAAAAAAATATATATATATATTGCCAGCAAAGAACATTTAATTACAGCTGTTTATGTTGTAAAGGCTGAAGACCACAGAACAATGTGCTGAATGGAACAAGCAAGAATTGCCACCCTGTGCTTTGCATGTTAAAAGTAATGAGGGCAGTCCAAACAAAATTACTTGCATTCTGCCCAACTTTAGCTTGCAAACACCATGCAGTTCCACAGAATAGCTTAATTGCCTAATATAGCATAATTGCCAGGCATGAGAAGTAATATGATTCACATGTCTGACCATGAAATGAACCAGAGAAACTGCTGGGTTTTAACAGCTTGGTTTTGACTTACCTTGGCTTTACAGCTGTTGTAAGCATGAATCCGGATGTTGATCCCTGCAGTGGTATCTCGTGTTTCATCTTCCTGCATCCTGGCATTATGGTTTTGTGCATTCTGTGGATTTGTGAAACTGTCAAATGGGGGAAATCACAGGTGGGGGTGGGAACAGGCTGCACCTGAGAGTGCTATCTGGCTCTGTCCTGCTGTGCTTCAGATTCTGTGAAAATAGGGTGAGAAAAGCTATATGTGCTTGGGAGGGTTATAGTACGCTATTGAATCTGATCTGCTTCTTAATCCAATGAAATTATAAATTTATGGAAGATTTTAACAGCTTAGTTTTAATGACTACTTCTTATTTCATGGGCAGTTAATGCCTTATTCTTATTTTTATTTCAGTGACTTTCCCCAGGATGCTCTAAATAATGAATAGAAAAATGGTCTCTAAGCATTACAGCTTCCTTTGGTGACTGTGTTTGTAATACACTGCTTATCTGCAGAAGGAGGTGATTCTCAAAAGTTAGAATAGCAAGAAAAATTCAGTGTTTGAGTAACAAGCTGTCTGGGTATGTGTTCTCTCATATGGTAGCTTATTGTATGATTATTTATATTCCTGTGATTTCCCAAGGCACATGCATCTTCTGTTTGTTTCCAGTTACTTTTGTAAAGGATTTGTCCTTATTGCTTGATTAGTGCTTATTTCTATCATATTCAATTGTATGTGAAGATAAATATGAATAAGAACAGGTGGCTCACACTGTGGTGTTGAGAATAACTACAATTTTGTTTTTTGTTGGAACACTCTTTAGTCTGGGGAAGAAATTCTATCTCAGAGGGTACTATGCTATTAGTGTTTCTTTGTATCAATATTGATCTCTTGATTTTGTCTTGTTGTTTGGTATCCTTGTGCCTTTCTCCTATTTTTAACTGGATCACAATAAGAAAGTTTAGGGATGGAAGCTGACATTTTAAGGAGGATTTTTTTGGTCCATTTTCAATTTAGTATTTTCCAGTTTTCTAGTGTTTTCAAATAGTCTTTGCATTTCTCTTTCCTATAACTTTTCTTTTACATTGATAGCTGGAATTCACTAGCTCTTCTCAGTGAATACTCTGTGTGCTCACAGGGATGTGGAGGGGAATGAAGGGGATCATATATTACTTCATCTTGCCAAGTACTAAATGAAACTCCAGTGCCACTTGACAAAACAAACAAAATCAAAAAACCAAAGCAAAACTAACAGAAAACAAAAAAAAAAAAACCCCAACCAAACAAAAACACCCACCCCAAACCAAAACCACCATAGCAAAAACCACACAAAATCCACACACACTAATGAACAGATAATCCATTATTTATAATGACAGAAAATATTAAATAAATCTTTATGATTTTTTTTTTTCTCTCAACAGGTTCACAGTCAGGATGTAACCTCCTGTAAAATGGAAACCTGTGAAGAACGATACAGATAGCAGTTGGAGCTAAAAGTTGTGGATGAATATTTCTCTTCTTAAGCATCAGCTTTTAAAAACGCTATGGTGATTTGGAAAGTCTCAAGGGTGAACTGCAAAGTTTTCCTCAGCTCAGTCGATGCATTTCTTAGTAATTTCTCCAAGTCATTGATGATCAGAGATGGTGTGTGATGGAAAAAAGCACCATGTTTCTGTGTTTGTAGCCCCTGTTTTTTGGATTAGTTTGCTGCATTGTTGAACCGATTTCATTTTGAAGGGCAAAGAGTAAATGTGATGGATTTATCTTCAGAGATGAACAAACATGGAAGGAATCCAGTAAGTCATAAACTAGAAGATCAAAAGAAGGTAAGATTGTTTTTAATTACTTAATTATATTTGAATGACTTGCAGACTCTTTGATTTTCAGTAAGCTAGAAATGAATGTGCTTCAAGGATAAAGTAGCCTGCTATGCTCACATTATATTGCAATACAGAAAACTCCCTGAATTTGTCTAGCAAACTGTCTGTCAAAACCTGGACTTGCTGACCTGAAGCAAAAATCTGACATCAGTCTGAGACAGGGTGAGACCTTTGTTTTTGACTGTGGATGCGTAGCAGACCCTTCTCATTCTGTCCTACACATAGTTTTGGATAATGTATTGTTCAATTTTTATCCTTCAGTATCTAAGGCAGTTTAAGCATGTAAATACATGCTTCCATAGTACAGGAAGTTCTTTCAGAAATCCCACTTCTGCAGCAGACTGTCCTAAAAATCTCACCTTCAAAGTTCATGTCCTTTACTTACTCATACTCTGGTCTAGAAATATCTCTAATGCTTATTTCATAAACCACAATTTGATTTCTTAAGCTTTTTGGGGATAATAGAAGGACCCATGCTTTATTGGTTTTTTGGTACTATAATAATGGATTTTTCCCAAAAAAATCTTTTTGCTTGCTTTTTTTTGTGGGTTTTTGCAATCTCTAGTTTATTAGAAGTTCCAAACACTCTAATTTTATTTTTGCCTGGGTTCTAAGGCAAGGCTTGCACTGACTGGCAGCCAGCAGAGAGAATTTGTTCTATGTAGCATCTGAGGCTGTGGTGTGCTTCATACAATGCCATTAAGTGAGATTTACTGGCCTCTTTGAGTTATTGCATAGTTCAGTGGGACTGTCCAAATAGTGTATTGAAGTGCAGATTACATGCTTCATTGTTACACAGACTTGCAATGGGTATTTTTTTTTAATTTTTGGTATGAATGTTTCTGTTTAATGCTTTAAATATTTTTGATCTTATTTGGGAAAAAAGTAGAAATTGGTGTAGTTTATGGAAAACGTAAAACAATTGTAAGACCTATAAAATCAAATACTTTCTTTTAGTGTCTCGGAGATTTGTATGCATCTAAGTCATTCAGTCATAGCCAATAACCCTCTAAACTGCAGAGAACTGTAGGAAATATAATGTGATAACACACATGATGAAATTATTACAGAAAATATATTCCACCATATATATTCAAAATACATTGAGCATTTTTTGTGTAATGGAGGAAAGAAGTATATGATAAATTATAATTAGTTTAAAACATGGGGCTTTCTCCACTTCATAATTCCCACTCTTCTGTGGCACAAAAGAAAAGCTAAGAAATGTTAGCATTAATCTCACCATCTGGTGAACTGTTTTTTGAACCATTATTATGGTTCAAAAATTCTGGAAACCAGAGTCTCCTTTTGCTCTACTCCCCCTTCTTATTCAAAAGAATTTTTTCCCCTTCATGCCTAATACCTGCAGATTCACTCTTGGACATAAACTCTTTGGATTGTGTAGGAGGGGAAGGTTTGTTTCAAAGAGGATCTGTTATACCTCAGGGTCAAATCTTCTCTTTGAGCCAGTCTGTAGACATTTTATCCATCTGTAGAACTATGCAGTGACCACCAAAGGCTCTGCAGTTGATTACAGGCTCTGCTTTTTTGCTGTGGTGGATGCTGAAGAAGTAATCGTGATAATAAGCAGAAGTCTTGTTAGTTTCATTCAGGGATCTTATATGCTAATATAATTATATTTATCATTTATATGCTAATATAATTATAGAAGGCTAATATTAAAAAAAAAAGGGTTTTATAGGTGGTGGTGAAACATAAGAAGTAGTAGTAGTTTGGCTATCTCTTGATGCTGCATTGTCACTAAATCACATTTTTACATAATTTTACCATAATTTTACATAATATTACCACTTTAGGAAATACTGGCTGACAGAGGTGCCTTAGTTGCATACTACCTGGATCACACTAGGCAAGAGTCAAGCTGAATTTCTTGGATACCATATGACCTTTCAATAAATAAAAACTATTGTATTCTGAAAAGACTCAACTGTTGTGTTGCTGCAGAATATATTGTTATTGTTTTCTGCATGAGCAATTTAGGAAAAAAGTCAAATTGAGAAAAAAGCTCCATATAAGACTTCTCAGGTAGCTTTAAAAATGCACTCTGTGCATTGGGATGTAACTTTTCTAATAATTTCACAGCTATGCTATATATAAAATAGCATTGTTATTTTTCTGTGGCCTGAATTTAGGCCAAAACAACTATATTTAGATAATTTTTCGTGTTGCTAGTATGTATGACACTCAAACTCCTTATCTCAAAACCCACCAAATGTTATCACCTGCATTTTAAATAGGTGCATACTTCTTATGGCTGCAGGTCTGTCCAGTTCTGTATCCTTCCTGTAGCTGCAAGATGCAATGACTTTTTTATGGACTTCTGGCAATGGCTTGCTCACATTTGTGGGACTGGCATGTGTCCCTGGTCTGATGCTCACAGTAAAAGATGAAGCTTAGTCATGAAGTTAGAGCTTTTAGTAGCCATGAGGAAGCAGTAGTCTGATTTTTGTAGCTGAAGTGTTGGGACAAGGAAAGAGGCAGGCTAATAGTGTAGAGAGGAAATTGGTTTTAGAAAAATTGTCACTAATTAATTTGACCTCTTACAGAAAACATGTATAGGCCTCCCCTCTACAAATTCTTCTGTCTAGATGCAAAGCCTCAGGAAACATGAAATGAGCTGGAACAGGTGTCCATCATTTCTGTCTGCCCAAGGACCATGTGTCCATGGTAACTCTGTCCAAAAGAAGCCTTTTATTCCTCCAGACTTGATGTGCCAGCCATACTGTTTCATCCACGTAGATATTTCAGGTTAAATGCTCTGTGTTTGCATCTGCTAGCCCTTTCCACAGTGTCCTTATTAAATCAGTATGATAAAACTCAAGGCTTAAGGATGGAAATGCCCATGAGTAGCAGGTCCATATATTGCCATTTACAGTACGGTGTGCAAGTTCATGATTTTACCACATGGCAGAGATAGCCACAAACTAGGCAGCTTCTCTAAAATGACCATTTTAAAACCTGAAAGAGGCTGTCTTATCTGTCTGTATTTCATCATTCAGAAGGAGTCTGTTTTCAAAATCAGTGTTACAGTTTATAATCTTCTGCCACATAGATGGTTTATGCTAGCCAATCTCCAAAATGCACATTCAAAATTTCCCAACTACTCCACTCATTTAATTTTAATGTTTTCCTTACAAAAAGGTCCCACTGTGGCCATTTCTTCGACAGACTATCCTGGTTGCATTGTATCTTCAAAAAACACCTGCTTGCTGTAAGGCAGGCAGAGCCAAGCCTTAGAATGATGCTGCTGCTGTGGCCCTGTTGAGTCTGGAGCCTGGGGGTGGGATCCTGGCTGTGGTTCACTGTGGGCGTGCAGATGTCTGTGAGGCAGCCCACAAGTAAACAACACAGGTGGCTGTACCCTCAAGTATCATTTGTGTACTTGATCACGTGTAAATCTGTGAAATTGTTTCAGAAATACAGGAATGTGCAAAATGTTTCCCAGTAACAATAAGACTCTGTGCCTTAAATGTTTGGCGTATCTGCTTTGTCTGCCAACTAATGTACTGCTTTCTGTTCCACTATGTCTAGGATGTTTCTGACAAGCCCTCTGAGTCCCTATCCTGACTCACAACAAAAGATATGTGCCTGGATTTGAAATCCATTATGCAGAATACAGTAGGAATTATATTCATGCAGAATTTCTTGTTTCCAAAATAGGAGGTACTTCGTACCTCTGCACATCTTGTCCATGTCTTGGAATTCTGCACACCCAGAATAGTTCACAGGGATAGCTTTTCATTACATTCCGTTTAAACTCTCTTGAATAAAGTCCTTGATTTTTCTGCTTAGAGGCAGATCCAAACCAAATGAAAACAGGAAAATTTTTAGCACTGCACCACCTCCTCTGCAAATATATGCTTTGAAGTTAAATGTGAGAAAGTATAACAATTGCTGTTGTTATACAGCGATTGAACAAATTACAATGTTTTCTTGTCAGAACAAATGACAATGTTTTCTTGTCTTTCTTTTGGTAGGCAGGTGAGCCACTGTACCTGGAAGGACTTTCAGACACCAAGGCTCTATTACTGGACAATAATTAAATATAACTAATTAGCAGGAATGGCAAGTAAGCCTTCTCTAGTGTTAGATGTTTTGCTGATCTCCCTGGTAGCTATTTGGAGATTAATTAGAAGTCCAATAATCAGTCAGGTTTTGCTTGATAGAGTAAAATAATAGTTTACTGTTGAAAGCATCAGGCAGTCTTGATACACAATCCTTTAAAACAAAAAATCAAGAGAGAAGGTTTAGAAGGGATACTTAACAGGAACAATCAGCATGTACATCACACTGTTCCTCTATCCCCTGTCTCCTTTGTCCTAGTCAATATTCAGTGCACGGGACAGCATTTCAGGAAAATCAGATGTTGTCCTCATGAGGCAGTTGGCCCAGAAGCATAATTTATTCTTATGAACACTCTACTACTGCTGTGTCTGTGCTCCCCATTTCCACACCTTAGTTTTCATTTTTATGGCTAAATCTGTAGTCATCCAACAACTGTTTTGAAAAATAATGCCATGAAATCTTGGGCAGGCCAGAGTTGTTGCTATTCTTGTTTAATAATGCATTTTCATTTGAAGACCTAGGATCTGAATGATGCTGCTTGTTACGTGAATGAAAAGGTTGATGTCTCCCATTTTATTATTATTTCTCTGAGGCTGCTCTGAGCTTTCTATCCCTTCTCATACGCCCCAGTCATTCCTACACATATGTAAAAGTACATGTATATTTTGTACAGTTCTTGTCCATCTGATCATCTGTCTGTTAGGGGTTGCTTTGCAAACAACAGAGGTCTGCAGAACTGCTGAAGAATCAAAGATTCATTGGGCTTAATGTTCACTGGTATCCCATATTGCACAACTGGCAGGGGTTTTGTGGGGTATTTTTTCAGGAGATTTAAGTGTCTTAACCAAAAACAGTGCAGC